ATCTTTTCTTTTTCAAACTACACAGAGGTAAATGTGATATATTTTCACAAAATGACTTGCCATGTTCACTTGACTTTGAATGGTGCTGAATATGGCTGCCTGTTTGTATGTTATTACTGTTTCTCCAGAATGGATATTTTCCTCTGGATCACTGTATCAACATGGCTCTTGCCAGTATAATCTTTGTTGCCTAGTTGGTGCCAATCTTGCATCCAATATGGCTGTCTTCAAAATCTTGTTACTGCTCCCCTATACCTGAAAATCATCATGATGATTCTTCAATTTCTAAATTAACACTGCCAGTTGTATGTCCTATACTGCAAAATGTTAAAATTCTTGTCAGTACTCCCCCTAGAATGGATAATCATTATGACATGGTGCTTCTACTTAAAATTTGTAATGTTTGCTCTGTCCAAATAAAAAAAATAGTTCAAAGCCAAATATTATGTGTACCAAGGCAGTTAATTAGAAAATCCTATTTACTTAAGAATATTGATGATGTGTTTTAACCGTTGGCAGTTAAAAGGAGGCAAATCTTTTCAATTCCTGGATATTGAGGGATTCTTGTTAAAAATGGACTACATTGGCACCTGTATTTTGCTGACTGCTATTAATTGCTGCTAAATGTATACACAACACACATGCATATTTTGAAACTTAAAATGAATAATAGAAACCTTAGATGATGAGATTAGATTATAGAGATAAGTTTTTTATATGATTTGTGATTTCAATTACAAACTTAGAGGATTATTGTTTAATACAGTGAAGTTCCATGAGATCGACAAGTTAGGTGCCTTAGATCACTTAAGACTCACCCTTGATGAGCATGGTGAGTCATGCATTCTAACACACATTCATAACGTGACTTTAAAAAAAGTAATATAAAAGGTTTACTATTGCAGCAAGATTAAGGATTAGTTTTAGGAACCAACTGTACAATTAAATTTATTGGACATCATGCTCTGTGAGCATGATCCAAGAAGCAAAAGTTTATGCTCACTGTCGCAACTATGGAGATATATAAAAAATTGTTATCTTAAAATTATTGACAACTTACATGAATACGGATATCTTTTGTGCAAAGACATTTTGTTACAAAAAATTTTCATTTATGTAGATATACCATACAGCATTATAAAAAACTAATCTTACTCTGTATGGAGAACTATATAAAGCATCAGTTGTTCCCCAAAATGTACAATTTCGTATCGGGAAAAAGCGCATCGTTCGGATCTGGTCATTGGAAGATGAAAAATCATTTGAGTTTGCACTTTAATTATTACCTTTTTACAAAAATTAAAGGCTTTTCCGATTTGTATTGTTATACTGTTTTCGGTCCGAATCAAAGGTCCTGCATTTTTGGCTGTACTCATTTTGATCTTTCCTGAATGGTTGTTCTATATCAACAGGAGATGTGACAGTTCACAAAAAAAAATGATGAAATGTAAGCTATCTCAAGAGCAGCATTTGACAACCAATTATTGACCCGTCTTTAATCTTTCTTTAAATCATCTCAAAGGAAAGATATTTTTCACTTGCTTCATGTTCACTTAGACTTTGAATGGTCTGATATGGGCTGTTGAATATTACTGTTTCACGAATGGATATTATCATACAAAATTTGAATAATCATTAGTGCATGGTGAAATCTTGTCAATATGATGTCTTCAAAATTGTATGTCCATGATACGGAAAACATATGTTCTCTCAATTATCAAATTAACACTGCAGGTTTATGTCGTTATCGCAAAATGAATTTTGTCATCATCCCTAGAAATGGTTAACTGACAGGTCAATGACTTAAAATTTGTAATTTTGCCTTCCAATAAAATATTAACCAAATATACTATGTTTACAGATATAATTTGATGCCTATTACCTTCTAGATAATTATTATTTTTAAGTGATGGAGTTAACAATGGCAAATCTTTTCATTCATGGTCTTAGACTTTTAAAAATGGGAGAATTGGCTGTAATTTCAAATGTATTAATTGCTGCAATGAAAAACACATGAATTTTGAAACTTAAGAGGTAAACAAACATAAATGTTGGATTATGTTGATAATTTTTTTTTTGTTTTAATGCAACTATACATTAGAAGTTATTGTTTAAAGATCAGTGTGTTTGACATTCTTCTGACATATTGATGTGTCATCTGAAACCATCAAAATTAAATGGTAATAAGCTGTCTTTGCCACTTTAAGAGTTATTTACACAATATGTAAATGGTCATCATGTCTGTGAATACTAGCAGACATATTATAATGTCAGCAATCATAGAAATTATACTGAAATTGTTTGCTTAAAATATTCATACTGGTACTGAAACATTTCCTGGTTACAAAAATAGTTTTCATTACTGAGTAATAACAAACTTGATACATAAATATATAAGCTGTCCTTGTTGACACTATATACATACACATGCTAGTCATACATATAAGGTCAATATTATGTTGATGTTGGCAAATTGATTTTGGTAGATGATTAGATCCGATAGTATTTATCTCCCTTGGATATTCTGCTGATGGTAATTTTTAAAACCACTGAATTTTTTTAGCAATGAGTCACAATTTGTTCACACTTGTTAATATACATTATTTGCGGACATAAAAAGAAACAAAAAATCTTTTTTTTAAAATATAAAAGATGCAGAATTTGTATAATGCAAAATGGAACCTTGCTTCATACTGGAAAGTATCAATATTGTGAGAGGAAGCCTATGTGGTTAAATTGCATGCAGTAGGTATTAGGCTTGACCTAAAACTACTTCCATTTAATTGCTATCATCATTCAGGTACTACTGTATATAATTAGGCAAAACTCAATAGGCTGGATTTCACAGTGGGCACCTACAAGGGAATTTTTTTCTCAAGAATGATCAGATGGCATATAATTTTCACTGTTTGAAACATTTACACTCAGATAGATCATGGAGATGCTATAAGCAAGTTTTGTATGTATAAGATGAACAAAGCATTAACATCTATAGGAATTGATTTAGTTGTCTTTGTTCATTAGTAGCAAAAAAAACCCCAGCAGATCTAGATATAATATGCATTATCAGACAATAGGGTCTAGATTACTGGGAGGGGGGGTGTAGGCTATAGACACTTAAGCACTCAGTTTGAAGAACAAGTGCCCTAGGATATCTGAATGAATGCATTGTAGTCTATTCTCTAACTAGTACTGTTAATAAATTTGAGCACAAAAATGGAACATTAACAATTCTTTACTTCCAAACATGGATCTTGATTACTGCAGTGATTAAATGTCAGGACAAACAAGTATAACTTTCAGACTAAAGTCAGTCAAAAATATTGCACTTTTGCCATGATATCAAACTGGAATTGTGTTTATGGATTACAATTTGTTAAGTTTGCTATCCTGCATCTTAAGTAATTAATCTACAGTAATTTTTTTTTCCTTCTGATTTTCACCAAAGGATTACTTTTGCCTCAAATGCTTGCACTATTATATGTGTGTGGATCTCTTTCTACTTTGAGTACAACGACATTTGGATGAGGGAACATATTCCATTCATAATATATCGAGAAGTGTTGTTGGGGTGGTGGCCTTGTTTTTTGTGAATATTTTAACAACTTGTACTTGCACCAGCCTCACAAACCAAAACATTCCCTGATATCCTCAAAACTGAAATTACCTGACACTGCACTAGGTAATTACACGACATGACATTGCACTAGGTAATTACATGACATGACATTGCTGCTTCAGGCTATAACTGGATTATTGGTCACAGGTAATTCAATTATGAGCTATGGAATCTGCATATTTAAAAATGTACCAAAAACAATAGGGCAAACCTCTGAAGTTTGTAATGTGTGACTGGATATTGATATCAAAAGGTAAGCTCATGTTGGGGAGAACTTGAATAGGCTCATAAAACAGTTGTATTTATACTCCTTGTGAAACAAGTTTTCCTGAGAAAAACATTGTTACTGTTTGTAAAGAGTACTTCTATGTAAAGGTCGTTTTGTTTCACATAGTTGTTTTTGTTTTTATCTGTATATTATCTGTATGCAATAATGGCATGTTTAATTATGGGCAATATTATGCCAAAGAAATGGGAGCTAAGTGAATTTATGCAGGATATACTGAAGAAGCCAACCTTTGGCTACCTTGGCAGGTATAGAATAAATAACTCCATGAATTACAAGTTTGACGTGCTATCATATGAACCACCTATGCTCGTCAAAGTAAACAGAATAAATATTTGAGTACCATGATAATATATTTACAATTATATTACAAAAAACCACATCTACTTCTAAGGATGTTAAAGTATCCTTTTGTTAGCAATACAACTGATGCCAGTATTATAGATGTTATATCAATATCATGCCATCTGCTGGACAGGTTAGAAATAACATATAAAAACAAAAGTATTGAAGCATACAAAAACTATGGAACCCAAAGCAACTGCAAACAAATGTACCCGTTTTTCTGACATTTTAGCATCTCTGTCAACTAAGTGAGAAAAAAAAAGGCATCTAAAGTGCAAATTTCAAAAGAACATGAAAAAATATTGAGTAGATGACAACTGCATATTTATCAGTACAGCCCTAGAAAAACCTACAAAGCAATTACTTTAAACTTCAAAATAACTCCTACATTATACATATTCCTGCCAAATAAACAGTAAAAAATATAAAATTTAATATTAACAAATATTTAAAAATTAAAACTAGCAGCAAAAGAGGATGATGAAGGGTACATATCAACACAGTACCAAGACATTAACCTACACACAGTAGGTTCCTTCTTTGCATAGTGTAATCCACTTCCAAAGAATATTTTTTAAAAATATTGTGTAGAATAGTCTTTATAATACTGACACCAATTGTTTTTATTTAAATAATGGTAACCTTGACATTAAAGCTGGCTAATTCACCATCTGAAGCATATTCATTCCCACAATTTTCAAAATATGGCAACACTTTACATATATATGATAAAACCAGATCAGAAACCATCACTCCGTTGGCCTAGTGGTTAAAGCGTCCACTTCAGATGTTGGTGGTCATGGGTTTGAACCCCAGATGAGTCATATCAAAGACTTTTTTAAAAAAATGGTACTAACAGCTGCCTCGCTTGGCATTCAGCATTAAGAGGTCAGTGTTAGGACTGGTCAGCCTGGTGTCAGGATAATGTGACGGGGTGGGACATCATGCTACATGTCTGGCATGATGCCCTAATGCTAGACATCACTATAAACTGTCACACTGCAGACATCACAGCAATATGACTGAAAAATTGATAAAGCTACATTAAAAATCTAAATCACACATTCAAATCAGAATATTTCAAAATTTTGATAAGTTGACTGACATTTCAATCTGTAGAATTTCTGATATAATTTTACATGTTTTAATGGGAGTTAAAACATAATTTGCAGTATTTTTGTATTATAATAAAACAGCAAGTTTTCAACTTTAATAAGATTTTGATGGCAATGTGATGATATGATCCAGGAAGTTGTCAATGAAAGAAAAAGAGATGTGTATCTAATAGTTCATTTTAAAGAATTTAAATAAAATCCATGAACATTTTAATTTTTTTTGCAGGTTTACTGCCTGGTGATCATTAAGTTATGCAATTTTCATAATTTATTTTGTAACAGGCTTTCTACAAATATTTGGTCCTGAGATACCTCGTGTGATGGTGTCTGCATATTGATAAGATTTCTCCTCCAATATACAAATCTTGTACACTAAATGCTAACGCGGGCCCATTGCTACTCACATACACCGACTTTAACTCGAAATATTGTTGAACTTCTTGAAATATTTCTATGCTGACAAATTTTTAGCATTGGGAAAAAGTGCATGTTTTTGAATTTTAGCATAAACTGACCAAAGAGAGAGCTTCCCTTAATATTTCTATTAAAACATCTTGAAAAACACAATAACAAATAAACAAGACCAAAAAGTCAATATGATTACACCAGTGTTTCTGACAATATAATTTTTGGGCCATGTTTTCTATTTTATCTCCCTCCACCAAAGGACAGTTGAATTTTAATCAAAGATTCACAATCTGTCTTGAAACATAATTGATCCATTTATTACATATATCAAAAAATATCCTGCAACTAGCCTTAAAGTCTAAAGTAAAACAATAAGGTAATCAATTTAAAGCTTACAAGTCTGCTATTGGGTAACAATACTTAATCAGATACTCAGCATGCTTCATTGCACTGGTCATTACAGTTTCAAGCCTCCAAAGGAATGGTTGTAGTTGGATTCTATAATGTGTGGATAGAATGCATACCAGTTTGTTTTCTAATTTTCGATCTTTTTTAAAAACGGATTTTGAAATGTGGTTGATTTCAACTATAAAATTTATTTCTGCTGTACCGCTGGTAGAATCACATCTGTGCACTTTGTAAAGTTGTTTTACATAAAGTGTTTTCATATTTATAAAAGAGCAATCTTGAATTTTATCTTTTCAACCAAAATATTCATGTTTTCCTGAGTTCTTGTACATAAGTCATTTCGTCACAATTACCTTGACTTATGGCTTATTACCCCAAAGTCAACAGGCTAATTCCTTACCCCATTCTTTCTAAACTCCTATACAAGCACAGTTTTGTAAAGGTATGTAGTTTAGAACTAAATTTACTGCATGGAGATAATTTCTGTGTATTTAATTGACTATTACATTAACCATGATCCTTTGGATTCCAAAATCAATAAGTCTTTTTATTTATAACATGTACAAGCCATCAACAAAACTTATTGAATGTCTAAAACTTGAGTTATTGTACAGAAACTATTTCTCTTCCTCGAGTCAATGTGATGATGACCTCCTATTCTGAGACTCTCAGAAGGAATTTACTGGTATCTTACCCCAAAAGCAAGTCAACAAAATTGTTTGATAAACGTATGTGCTGTGTACCTAAACAATAGTATGCAGAACAAAAAAAATTGATGGATAAATTGATGCTCATACAAGCAGATATTGCCAAGGGGTAATGGAATTGTGTGTACTTAATAGTTATGCTTTATACTTGTGCTAAAATGTGCTCCGGTTTCATTTCTACATATAAGATCATCTGAAATGATTTATGTTTCACGTTTTTCAAACTACTGAGTTTGGTTCACACAACGCTGCATGAGCAAAGTGCTTTATCCAAAGCTCTCTAGCTGAGGACTGCATCATAACCAGGATACTATCAAGTCAAACAGTAATATCACAACACAAGTTTTGTCAGGAAGCTGTCTACTTTACACGAGCAATCGTCAACTTCAGAGGCATGAGATATGAAATTGCATTCTTTTTTTGCAATCCATATTATGTGATTGAATTTTGATACATAGGATATTTCAGTATTCATTTTAAATCTGATTTATATTAAGACTTATGTTATATAACAGGATGCAATTAGATATTTTCAAGTCATCCATTTTAAAAATGAACAGGCAGTTAAATTAATTTCAATGCTACATGCATTACTTCAATGCTACATGCATTACTGCAAGAGAAAATGTTCGAGTTCTTATAATTCTTTCAGATTATTCTTGTGGGATACTGATTCATATAGGAACCTGTGTTTTTTTTAGAGAAGTTATGATTAAATGATTTAGTATATAACAAGAAACTTCAAGTGTGCATGTGTAACATATATCAATGCATTTGTACTTGACCATGTCTTATGTCCTTCACAGCTTTAGACATCAGCTGTTTATGGCTGTGGAGCTGGTTATAGATGAGATTTTGCATGCTGAGCAGAGACTTTTGGGAGTTGTAGAGATCAGTTGGGTTTTGTATAACCTGTGTGCTGCTGTCAGTGGTGATGTTGATTTGGAGGAAGATAGTGCTATTCTTGTGGTGAGGGATCTTTGCATTCAAACCGATGGTTCTGTGGTAATTAAGGGAGCATTTTAGGGATCCTTCACCAGATCAGGAGGGACAGGATATATATATATGGGGGGGGCTGACCATCTGACAGAGCAGTGAGACCGAAAATATCATTGTGGTCATCAACTAAAAAATTATTTAGTATCACTACATGAGCGAGGGGGCCCCTAGTGGCAGAGTGGTACAAAGTGCTCATCGTTACGGATAACTGTCATCTCACCTCTTGGTTTGAGTCTCACATTCGGCCAATATGGATATGTGAGAAAGCTTGCCAGTAGTTTCTCGTGGATCAGTGGTTCATTCTGGGGTTTTTTGTGGGTTCTTCCTCTACCATTTATACCAGCTGCCATGTATGGCCTATCTTGTGCTGGAAAATGGTGTTAAACCCTAGAAGAACAAAAACTATATGAGTGAAAATCATATGTGAAACATTTGTATTTGTACAAATTCCATACTTCCATATTTTGTTTGATTGCTTTAAAGTCATTTATTTTCAGGTTTAAAAATGAGAAGTACATTTTACCAACATGCTGAGAAAAATCATGGACTGCTGTGATTTATATATTAGAAAGAAAATAATTAAATGGTTTTTTTTATATTTTGTCACAAAATACATCAAATTTCTTCAAAATTAAAATTTTGTGTAGATGCATTTCTACTGGAATAACATCAGCTACATCATATTAGTCACACTAAACATAATATTATGATAAAAGTTAGAAAGAACAAAGGCTCCAAAAAGTGACTTAAAAATTTAGACGAGTATCATCATAAAATACTAAAATACAAAAATAATAATGAAAATATCCATAAGAAAATGAGATACTGTGTAAGAAAAGAATTTCCCATCTCATCAGTATTAATGTTATTGTTTTCTTATACATGGTATTATCAAGCGGCATGGGATGGACTGTTAAGTCTCCCTTAGAACATTTCAGCTGTCTGTTGACATGTGACTTCTCCATACCATAATAATCTTGCTTGACCTCTGGTATAAAATAAAGAATGCCATAACCATGTCCTAAACTTTTCAATCTTTCAACATTCTTTTTTTCTGAACTTTTAAACATATAGAAAGTTCACATGAAAATATGGAAGCATCATAAAGACTTTAACCTGTTTTTGCCTTTAGAATTTTATGAAGATCTTGAGGGACTTGTTTGACTCGTGGTATGAGTGTCTCAGTGAGGTATTTATCGATGTCCACATTCATTGCCATGAAGGAGTTAAAAATGAGTAAAATATCAGCAGCACTAATAAGGGCAGCATTCTTGAGGGACACATCTTCCCAATTTTTAATATGTCGCACAGCAAACACAGCAAACAACATCACGTAGCCCTGTACAAACACAAAGGTGATGGAGAAATTTATATGTGAATATTTAAAACATTCATATAACATACAATGCTTATAAATGAAAGAAGGATATAAAGATGAATGTCTTTATTTGTCTGTATCACATGAAATATTTTATTCATAATTTTTTCTATCTTTAAAAGTCTTAATTTGTGTCATTTGTTTTAGTGATTTAATTTTACACGAAAATAATTTTTTATGCAAAGTATAAAACCAAACAAAAGTACTTTGTCCACAACTACATTTATATTTACAATGTAATGGGTGATTGGATTGAATGGCAGTTAAAGTATTGATGTGGAAGAAACCCACTCACTATTATTTGCTTTGCAATGCATTAAACAACTTTTTTGTCAGGACACTGAAATTAGAAGAATGATCAATCAGGGTTGATGATGTGCAATGCAAAAAATTTAACTTGCTTAACATCTCATCATAATCCCAAACTGAATGTTTACTTTCTGCTTCGGAGACCAAATGAAATGGTCAGCCAGGGACAATAATTCTCCTATATGTTATGGAGCATGCTAGAAATAAAACCGCATCCATTATTACAAAGTTTTCTTCAGAGGACAAGGTAATTATAATCAAGCAAGGAGAACAATTTCTGCATGATAAATATACTCCATCTCTTTCCACAATATTTAAAAAATGGGTTTAACTTAATTATTAAAATAAAACCAGTTGATTTTTGGCTTGTAAGTAATCTTGTTCAACCAGTAGTCACAGCTTGGTCCATGAGATCAGTGCCAAATAAGGATCTGGTATATAACATTGGGTTTTCCTTGTAAGGCCAGAATGAATATTAATCAAAATTTAGAAATATAATT